ACTTGACCAGGATAACACTTGACCAGGATAACACTTGACCAGGATAACACTGACCAGGATAACACTTGCCAGGATACACTTGACCAGGATAACACTTGACCAGGATAACACCTGACCAGGATAACACCTGACCAGGATAACACTTGACCAGGATAACACTTGACCAGGATAACACTTGACCAGGATAACACTTGACCAGGATAACACTTGACCAGGATAACACTTGACCAGGATAACACTTGACCAGGATAACACCTTGACCAGGATAACACTTGACCAGGATAACACTTGACCAGGATAACACTTGACCAGGATAACACCTGACCAGGATAACACTTGACCAGGATAACACCTGACCAGGATAACACTTGACCAGGATAACACTTGACCAGGATAACACTTGACCAGGATAACATTTGACCAGGATAACACCTGGCCAGGATAACACTTGACCAGGATAACACCTGGCCAGGATAACACTTGACCAGGATAACACTTGACCAGGATAACACTTGACCAGGATAACACTTGAACAGGATAACACCTGGCCAGGATAACACTTGACCAGGATAACACTTGACCAGGATAACACTTGACCAGGATAACACCTGACCAGGATAACACTTGACCAGGATAACACTTGACCAGGATAACACTTGACCAGGATAACACTGCCAGGATACATTGACCAGGATAACACTTGACCAGGATAACACTTGACCAGGATAACACTTGACCAGGATAACACTTGACCAGGATAACACTTGACCAGGATAACACTTGACCAGGATAACACCTGGCCAGGATAACACCTGGCCAGGATAACACTTGACCAGGATAACACTTGACCAGGATAACACTTGACCAGGATAACACTTGACCAGGATAACACCTGGCCAGGATAACACTTGACCAGGATAACACTTGACCAGGATAACACTTGACCAGGATAACACCTGACCAGGATAACACTTGACCAGGATAACACTTGACCAGGATAACACTTGACCAGGATAACACCTGGCCAGGATAACACTTGACCAGGATAACACTTGACCAGGATAACACTTGACCAGGATAACACCTGACCAGGATAACACTTGACCAGGATAACACTTGACCAGGATAACACTTGACCAGGATAACACCTGGCCAGGATAACACCTGGCCAGGATAACACTTGACCAGGATAACACTTGACCAGGATAACACTTGACCAGGATAACACTTGACCAGGATAACACCTGGCCAGGATAACACTTGACCAGGATAACACTTGACCAGGATAACACTTGACCAGGATAACACCTGACCAGGATAACATCCCACATTGACCAGGATAACACTTGACCAGGATAACACTGACCAGGATAACACCTGGCAGATAACACTGCCAGGATAACACTTGACCAGGATAACACTTGCCCAGGATAACACTGGACCAGGATAACACCTGGCCAGGATAACACCTGCCAGGATAACACTGACCAGATACACTGACCAGGATAACACTTGACCAGGATAACACTTGACCAGATAACACTTGCCGGGATAACATTGACCAGGATAACACCTGGCCAGGATAACACCTGGCCAGGATAACACTTGACCAGGATAACACTTGACCAGGATAACACTTGACCAGGATAACACTTGACCAGGATAACACTGGCCAGGATAACACTGACCAGGATAACACTTGACCAGGATAACACCTGACCAGGATAACACCTGACCAGGATAACACCTGACCAGGATAACACCTGGCCAGGATAACACTTGACCAGGATAACACTTGACCAGGATAACACCTGACCAGGATAACACTTGACCAGGATAAAACCTGGCCAGGATAACACCTGACCAGGATAACACCTGACCAGGATAACACCTGACCAGGATAACACTTGACCAGGATAACACTTGACCAGGATAACACTGACCAGGATAACACCTGACCAGGATAACACTTGACCAGGATAACACCTGACCAGGATAACACCTGACCAGGATAACACCTGACCAGGATAACACCTGACCAGGATAACACTTGACCAGATAACACTTGACCAGGATAACCCCTGACCAGGATAACACCTGGCCAGGATAACACCTGACCAGGATAACACTGACCAGGATAACCCCTGACCAGGATAACACCTGAGCCAGGATAACACTTGACCAGGATAACACTTGACCAGGATAACACTGACCAGGATAACACTGACCAGGATAACACCTGGCCAGGATAACACCTGACCAGGATAACACCTGACCAGGATAACACTTGACCAGGATAACACTTGACCAGGATAACACCTGACCAGGATAACACCTGACCAGGATAACACCTGACCAGGATAACCTGACCAGGATAACACCTGACCAGGATAACACCTGACCAGGATAACACCTGGCCAGGATAACACTTGACCAGGATAACACTTGACCAGGATAACACTTGGCCAGGATAACGCTTGACCAGGATAACACCTGGCCAGGATAACACCTGACCAGGATAACACTTGACCAGGATAACACTTGACCAGGATAACACCTGACCAGGATAACACCTGACCAGGATAACACTTGACCAGGATAACACTTGACCAGGATAACACTTGGACCAGGATAACACTGACCAGGATAACACTGACCAGGATAACACTTGACCAGGATAACACTTGACCAGGATAACACCTTGACCAGGATAACACTTGAGACCAAGGATAACACTTGACCAGGATAACACTTGACCAGGATAACACTTGACCAGGATAACACTTGACCAGGATAACACTTGACCAGGATAACACTGCCAGGATACACTGAGATAACACTTGACCAGGATAACACTTGACCAGGATAACACTTGACCAGGATAACACTTGACCAGGATAACACTTGACCAGGATAACACCTGGCCAGGATAACACTTGACCAGGATAACACTTGACCAGGATAACACTTGGCCAGGATAACGCTTGACCAGGATAACACCTGACCAGGATAACACTTGACCAGAATAACACTTGACCAGGATAACACTTGACCAGGATAACACTTGACGGGATAACACTGACCAGGATAACACTTGACCAGGATAACACCTGACCAGGATAACACTTGACGAACACTGACAATAACACTTGACCAGGATAACACTTGACCAGATAACACTTGACCAGGATAACGCTTGACCAGGATAACACCTGACCAGGATAACACCTGACCAGGATAACACTTGAACAGAATAACACTTGACCAGGATAACACTTGACCAGGATAACACTTGACCAGAATAACACTTGACCAGGATAACACTTGACCAGGATAACACCTGACCAGGATAACACCTGACCAGGATAACACTGACCAGGATAACCCCTTGACCATGATAACATGACAATACACTTGACCAGGATAACACTTGACCAGGATAACACTTGACCAGAATAACACTTGACCAGATAACACCTTTGACCAGGATAACACTGACCAGGATAACACCTGACCAGGATAACACCTGACCAGGATAACACTGACCAGATAACACTTGACCAGGATAACCTGACCAGGATAACACTTGACCAGATAACACTTGACCAGATAACACTTGACCAGGATAACACTGACCAGGATAACACTTGACAGGATAACACCTGACCAGGATAACACCTGACCAGATAACACTGACCAGGATAACACTTGACCAGGATAACACTTGACCAGGATAACACTTGACCAGGATAACACTTGACCAGGATAACACCTGACCAGGATAACACCTGACCAGGATAACACTTGACCAGGATAACACTTGACCAGGATAACACCTGACCAGGATAACACTGACCAGGATAACACTGACCAGGATAACACTTGACCAGGATAACACCTGACCAGGATAACACTTAAACCAGGATAACACCTGTGACCAGGATAACACTTGACCAGGATAACACCTGACCAGGATAACACCTGACCAGGATAACACGTGACCAGGAAAACACTTGACCAGGATAACACCTGACCAGGATAACGCCTGACCAGGATAACACCTGGCCAGGATAACACTTGACCAGGATAACACTTGACCAGGATAACACTTGACCAGGATAACACCTGACCAGAATAACACTTGATAAGGATAACACCTGACCAGGATAACACCTGACCAGGATAACACTTGACCAGGATAACACTTGACCAGGATAACACCTGACCAGGATAACACTTGACCAGGATAACACCTGACCAGGATAACACTTGACCAGGATAACACTTGACCAGGATAACACCTGACCAGGATAACACTTGACCAGGATAACACCTGACCAGGATAACACCTGACCAGGATAACACTTGACCAGGATAACACCTGACCAGGATAACACTGACCAGATAACACTGACCAGGATAACACCTGACCAGGATAACACTTGACCAGGATAACACCTGACCAGATACACGACAGGATAACACTTGACCAGGATAACACTGACCAGGATAACACTTGACCAGGATAACACCTACCAGGATAACACTTGACCAGGATAACACTTGACCAGGATAACACTTGACCAGGATAACACCTGACCAGGATTACACTTGACCAGGATAACACCTGACCAGGATAACACTTGACCAGGATAACACCTGACCAGGATAACACCTGACCAGGATAACACTTGACCAGGATAACACTTGACCAAGATAACACCTGACCAGGATAACACTTGACCAGGATAACACCTTACCAGGATAACACCTGACCAGGATAACACCTGACCAGGATAGCACTTGACCAGGATAACATTTTACATTACCCGCTCAGCTGATTGTGAGAAGATCAGAATGACCAACCGTACTCGCCCACTCCACCTCTCACACATCCCACCCACTCGCCTCTAAACACCACACTTACCCCCATAACATACCTCCCTCACGTACTCAAAAATCCACCTATAGGCTTCCGGGGAACATGGTTAACGCGTAAACCTACAAATGGAAGATGAGTTGAAATGAAAGTTGTGCGAGTGTTGGCGAGCCTGGCAGTAAAGTTTCACAAATATACCGCCAGGTAGCGAGAAGAAAACAAGACATGTCTGCCAGGGGAACTGCACACATTTTTTAGCCGTGTGAGTCCATTTCCTTCGCTTTTGGGTGCCTGAGGCGTGCCTGCAGGAGCACGGGGTAAGGTGGAAGAGGGTGGGAAGGTGTAAATGGCGGTAGGTGGTGTGTGCAGTGCAGGGGAGGAGTGTGATGGAGGCTGTGTCAGGCTGTCACCTGCATGGAATGTTTACTGTGTAACACGTAGTCAGGTGGAGGGTCCCTGGGGGCCCCTTAATAGATTCTCTCGTCTTTCCTAGGTTGTTACTAGCTGTCCTTATCTTCCCCAGGTCATCACTAGGTGCCCTCACCGTCCTCAGTTTCTTACTAGGTGTCTTCACCTTCCCCAGTTGTTTACTAGGTGCCCTTCTCTAGGTCATCACTAGGTGCCCTCACCTTCTCTGGGTCATCACTAGGTGCCCTCATCTTCTCTGGGTCATCACTAGGTGCCCTCATCTTCTTTAGGTCATCACTAGGTGCCCTTACCTTCTCTAGATCATCACTAGGTGCCCTCACCTTCTCTAGGTCATCACTAGGTGCCCTCACCTTCTCTAGATCATCACTAGGTGCCCTCACCTTCTCTAGGTCATCACTAGGTGCCCTCACCTTCTCTAGGTCATCACTAGGTGCCCTCATCTTCTCTAGGTCATCACTAGGTGCCCTCACCTTCTCTAGGTCATCACTAGGTGCCCTCATCTTCTCTAGGTCCTTATTAGGTGCCCTCACCTTCTCTAGATCATCACTAGGTGCCCTCACCTTCTCTAGGTCATCACAGGTGCCCTCATCTTCTAGGTCTTACTAGGTGCCCTACCTTCTCTAGATCATCACTAGGTGCCCTCACCTTCTCTAGGTCATCACTAGGTGCCCTCATCTTCTCTAGGTCATATCCCACTAGGATAGCCCTCACCTTCTCTAGGTCATCACTAGGTGCCCTCACCTTCTCTAGGATCATCACTAGGTGCCCTCACCTTCTCTAGGTCATCACTAGGTGCCCTCATCTTCTCTAGGTCATCACTAAGTGCCCTCACCTTCTCCCAGGTCCCATTTACAATCAAAGTGCCCTCACCTTCTCTAGGTCATCACTAGGTGCCCTCATCTTTAGGTCATCACTAGGTGCCCTCACCTTCTCTAGATCATCACTAGGTGCCCTCACCTTCTCTAGGTCATCACTAGGTGCCCTCACCTTCTCTAGGTCATCACTAGGTGCCCTCATCTTCTCTAGGTCATCACTAGGTGCCCTCACCTTCTCTAGATCATCACTAGGTGCCCTCACCTTCTCTAGGTCATCACTAGGTGCCCTCATCTTCTCTAGGTCATCACTAGGTGCCCTCACCTTCTCTAGGTCATCACTAGGTGCCCTCCCATCTTAGGTCATCACTAGGTGCCCTCATCCTTCTCTAGATCCACTAGGTGCCCTCACCTTCTCTAGGTCATCACTAGGTGCCCTTCACCTTCCCCCAGGCATACTAGGTGCCCTATACCTCCAGTCATCACTAGGTCCCTAATTCTTTTAGATCATCACTAGGTGTCCTTTCTTCCACTAGGTCCCCTTATCTAGGTCTCCTTGTCCTTCACCTTCTCTGTCTCACTAGGTGCCTGTCCTTCTCAGGTCTTCACTAGGTGCCTATCTTCTCTAGGTCATTACTAGGTGTCCTCACCTTCTCTAGTCATCACTAAGTGCCCTTACCTTTCAGGCTCATCACTAGGTTGCCCCTCTAGGTCCATACTAGGTGCCTACCTTCCTCCAGGCCACACTAAGTGCCCTCACCTTCCCAGGTCCTCCTAGGTGCCCTCATCTCCTCAGTCCCTACTAGGTTCCCTCACCTTCTCAGGTCCTACTAGGTGCCCTCACTCTCTAGGTCCTTACTAGGGGCCCTCACCTTCTCAGGTACTTACTAGGTACCCTCATCTTCCTAGGTCCTACTAGGTGCCCTCACCTCTCTAGGCCTCTACTAGGTGCCTTCATCTTCCCCAGGTCATACTAGGCACCCTCACCTTCCAGTCCCTACTAGGTGCCCACTTCCTTCTCCAGTGCCCTCATTTCCATTACTAGGTGCCCCCACCATGTCACATCACTAGGTGCCCCATCTACCAACCCAAGGTGCCCTATATCTATAGGTGCCACATCTGCCCAGGTGCATACTAGGTGCCTCACCTTACCAGACCATCACTAGGGCCCTCACCTTCCTGTCATCTACTAGGTGCCCTCTCTCCTAGGTCTCACTAGGTGCCCTCACCTCCAGGTCCACTAGGTGCCCTCACATCCTATGTCCTTACTAGGTGCCCTCACCATCTCAAGGTCCTTCACTTAGGTGCCCTCCCTCGGCCCAGGGCCTTACTAGGTGCCCTTACCAGACCCAATGCCTTTTAGTGCCTATCTTTAGTCACCAGGTGTCCTGTCTACTCCCGCTTCACAGGTGGGTCCCTGGGTCATTCCCCGGTTTTACTGAAGTTCCTGACCACGTCTTACTACCTTTGTCCTTTCACCGGTCTTACATAGGTCCACTTCTCTAGGCTCACTGGTTGCCCTTCCTGCAGCATTAAGGGACCCCCAAGGCCTTAAGTAGACTTACTCCTCCCAGACGCACTGTCTTTCTAGGTCCTTCCTAGGTGCTAACCCCTCCGGGGTTTAAAATCCAACAAAGTCTTACTATTCTATATCTTACTTATCTCACCTCCCAGGTCCTTACTAGGTACCCTCTCTACCCAGGTCCTTACTAGGTTCCCTCATCAGGACCCTTCTAATAGTGCCTTCATCCAATCCAGGTTCTTACTAGGTGCCCTCCCTCCCATCTCTCCTGTGTCCCAACTTTCTGGGCCCTATGCATTAGGTCCTTCTAGGTAGTCCTTCACCATACCAGTCCTTATAGGTGCCTCACCAGCCCAGGCCTTACTAGGTGCCCCATCAGACCCAGGTGCTTAATAGTGCCCTCACCAGACCCAGGTTCTTACTAGGTGCCCTCACCTTCCCCATGTCCTTCAGTGACCTTGCTTCCCAAGCTTTCTGGCTCACTATAACCAGGTCCTTACTAGGTCCCTCACCAGACCCAGTCCTTAGTAGGTGCCCTCACCTTGCCAGGTCCTTATAGGTGCCCTCATCAGACCCATGGCTTACTAGGTGCCCTCACCAGACCCAAGTTCCTTATTAGGTGCCCTCGCCTTCCCAGGTTTCTATCCCCTTTCAATCTAAGGTCCCAATCACAACCATTCTTATTCTTTGCAAAGGTTAATAATGTAGATGTTTCTTACTAATGTGATTGCTTACACAAAAAGGGCCACTATCCGTGTGCCAAATTTGGACAGACTTAAACCTTAATACTTAAGACGCCTTAAGTGCCTCATCCAGGTGAAGAGTGTCATAGAATGTCAATAATTCCTCACCTAATCATTAATTATAGGTAGTCCTCATTTTGTGTCAACATGACCATCTATGCAAGTTTATCAGTACCAGTAGACCCCCAGTCTTAGATTTACCTCCCAATATGCCACCAAATTAATGTAAGTGTCTTATATGTAGGTACGTTCTATTAAAATCAAATGTATTTTGGGTTCAATGGTATTCTAATTCCAATATTTTGATGGGTACAAAGAAGCCCCTACTCACCTGAGACATATTTGGAATGAAATAATACTAAAGGGTCTACTTAATGACATTAAGAGTGGTAATTACAATGTGGACAATATTTTACTTTTAAATTACATAGAGGTAGTATGTATGATACAAACATACATTTTTAAGTTTTCAGTACAGTGGACCCCCGGTTTACGATCACCTCCCAATGCGACCAATTATGTAAGTGTATTTATGTAGGTGCGTTTGTACGTGTATGTTTGGGGTCTGAAATGGACTAATCTAATTCACAATATTCCTTATGGGAACAAATTCGTTCAGTACTGGCACCTGAACATACTTCTGGAATGAAATAATATCGTAAACCGGGGGTCTACTGTAATGACTTAATAGTTAAGGGATAATAAAATGTTTGGGAGAGTTGTTTTAAACTTGGTTAGAGATTAGCATAGTGTGGGTATGCTTGTTACTGAGAGATGCGATGATGTTTAAGTACGTATAGTCTTAAATTGATTTGTGGGCAGGGGACCTCTTGCTATTTTGGGCAGAGAATTCCAGATCTTTTGGCTCTTTATGTGTGTTGCATTTTGCATAGTGTGCCCTCATCTTCTCTAGGTCATCACTATGTGCCTTCACCTTCCCCAGGTTATCACTAGGTGCCCTTACCTTTTCCAGGCTCTTACTGGGTGCCCTTATCTTTTCCAGGCCCTTACTGGGTGCCCTCACCTCTTGGTCATCACTAGGTGCCCTCACTTTCTCTGGGTTATCACTAGGTGCCCTCACCTTCTCTAGGTCATCACTAGGTGCCCTAACCTTCTCTTGGTCATCACTAGGTACCCTCACCTTCTCTAGGTCATTACTAGTTGCCCTCACTTCCTCTGGGTTATCACTATGTGCCCTTTCCTTCCCTAGGTCATTGCTAGGTGCTCTCACCTTCCCCAGGTCCTTACTAGGTGCCCTCACTTTTCATAGATCCTTACTAGGTACCTTCACCTTTCCCAGGTCCTCAGTTTTCCCTAGGTTCTCACTAGGTGTTCTCATCTTTCCTAGGTACCTACCTTAATAGGTGCCTCACCTTCTCTAGGTTCTCACTTGGTGCCTTTGCCTTCTTCAGGTCCTCACCTGGTGCCATCACATTTTCTGTTCCCTCACTAGGTGTCCTCACCGTGTTTGGGTCCTCAACTGGTGCCCTTGTCTTCCCCCAGGTCCTTGCATAGTGCCCTCATCTCTCCCACGTTCTTGCCTAGTGCCCTCTCTTTCCCCAGGTCCTTTCTCTAGGTTTTTCACCTTTCCCAAGTCCTTGTCATCTCCAAGGCCTCACCTTTCCCAATGTTGTGGGTTTGGGGTTTGAAATGTGGGTGTGTTTGGAGAAATACACAATATCTCTGCACATGTTTATTGGACAGAAAGGATGTGTTGTATGCCAGCATATCCTAAGTGTATCTTTTCAGCTTGTCGTCTGTATGTTGACTTGCCATGCCCCCATGGGCAAGCTGGGGTTTGAAACTAGAGGTCAGTGTCATTCACCTTTACATTCCTAAGCTGTGACACAGTAATGGCAAACATGCTACGTACATACCATTGGCACCAGGTCCTCATCTTTCCCAGGCCTTCACATTCCCCAGGTCCTCACGTTCCCCAGGTCCTCACGTTCCCCAGGTCCTCATGTTCCCCAGGTCCTCACCTTCCCCAGGTCCTCACCTTCCCCAGGTCCTCACCTTCCCCAGGTCCTCACCTTCCCCAGGTATACTCAACAAGCTTATCTCCCTGTAATTCATACACTCATTCTTGTACCCTTAATTACACCATGTATATATCCCTTGTCTTTCCTTTATCTTGTCCCAGATTTTTTCATTGACATTAACTTTTATCACATTATTATTATTCCTCTGCTGTAACATAATTTTTATCCTTCCCATTCAATTATTAATTTTGATTTACGTATATGTAAATAGTATTGTCAACCAATTCTCACTTGCGAGCTGTGACCAGGTCTTACCTGTCATTACCTTGTATTAGAAGCATAAACAGCTCCAGAACTCTGTGTTCACTTAAATACAGTAATGAAATACTGTGCATACTATGGGTTTCTAGCAAAATCTGTATCACTTGTTTGCTTTTTCTGTGAATGAAATCAGATATTAATATTCATATTTGTATCATTTATATTTCCCCCCCCTTTTTTTTTAAATAAAATTTATCATTAGGTTTTCCTGTGAGGTTGAACTAGTGTTATTTATTCCTAGATTGTTGTATTAGGTAACATTAGAATAGGTGAGTGAAAAGAATGTAGAAGGTTGGGCAAAAATAAAATTCTTGTTTGTCATTTGTTCTCATGGAAAAATGAAAATAAAAGAAGCATAGTAAAGTTTCTTAGAATGAAGTAATGCTTGGACTAGAGTTGTTGTTATGGATGGGCATGCCATGTTGTGCAAAAACAATATTGATAGGAGACTGTACTTACCATGCTGGTGGGTAGTGGAGATATGGTGTACAGTATTGAATGCATGTAAATTGGGGGGGGGTTACCAACTTTTTTGGCCAAGTAGGTCATATTAAAATTTAAAATTCGTGAAGGTGCCAGGCTTTAGAAACAAAGTGGGTTGCAAATGTACATGCTGCATTTATCATTCACTATCTCAAGTAAACATAGTGATAATCACAGCTTTAATACCTGTATAAATTTGAAAAAATGTAGAGGTGATCACTGCCAATTATAGTAACTTCATGGGTCCTCAGCTGTTCCCTTATTTCTCCCCAGAATTTCAAGAAAGGGAATTAAAGCTCTCAGTGACTGAGAGGCAACAAACTAAATGGAAGGACAGAATGCAAAGAATCTAGGACAATGACAAAAATACTAACTCTGAAATTTAATACACTACATGAAGCTGCGGCATGTTCAAATTTCTCTAAAGAGGATACTTTAGATAATCTAAAGTTTGTTTCAACATATCGAATAAGTGATGGGAATGTGTTTCTTTCTCTGGGTCATCCTACCTTGATGGAAAATGGCTGATGTGGTAAAAAAAATATTAATTGTATATATATGTACAATAATTGGGCAATGTGTGGTATGAATATTATGCAGAGAATTGGGAGCGTGGAGATAGAAGGTGTACGATTACCAAAAGTACTATTCAGAGGGCTGAGGATGGGATGTTGAGGTGGTTTGGGCATTTAGAGGGGACGAGGGTGTATAACTCTAGGGTTGAGGGAAGGAGGGGTAGGAGTCATTCTAGAAGAGGTTGGAGGGAGGGGTAAAGGAGGTTTTGAGGTTATTGGCTTCTGTAAATGCCTTGGATAGGAGTGAGTGGAGGGAGGCAAGTAGTTTTTATGACTTGACATGCTATTGGAGTGTGAGCAAGGTAACATTTATGAAGAGAGGAGAAACTTAGTGACATACTTGTTTACCGACCACTTGGATTTACAACCAGCTCTCCAACCAGTATGCAAACCTAAATAATGCATATTAGAGTTGAGTTCCTCTATTCTGTTTATTACATTATACAGGAAACTACTATATAAACATTTAAAAATATACCAGAAATGTTATAAATGGTGCACACATGATATTAAAAAAATACCTAAAGATGGTTGACACAGATCCACTACCAGTATAGTGTGCTCCTTGCTTAATGACCAATTTGCTTACCGACGTACTCTTAGGAATGGAACCCTGTTCTTAAGTGAGGAGAGGCTGTACAGTACCTGCACTCTTAAAGAAGGGTGAGGATGTTGCAGCTCATAGGGCCATTTGAACTGACATGTCTGCATGCTTGAATGAATGAGTGATGGTTAAAGTGTTTCTTCTTTTTTAGGTCACCCTACTTACGTGGCAAATAGACAGTGCGTTAAAAAATGTACATTAATTCTAAAGGGAGCACACACACACAATAAGGAATGCTGCATTAATGTTATGATATACTGTATAGCTATTGACTCTAAGGAAGATGCACTATTATGTAGTTTACCCAAAATGCTGTGCATCCTATGGGATGCATATGTTGTATAACAATTTGAAATCAAAACTTTGAATTTATATGTCCATGATAATTACTCAAATTTTTATACTTTTCTAATTTGGTGATTCTTCTATGGTTCCAAAGATCTTCTCTATATGCTAATGCAGTATGTACAGTTGCTATGAAATTAGCTCATGTTTTCTTAAACTTATTTCCTTGCTCAATTTCAGATTATTCGTCTTTAATGATGACTTTTCTACATATGTTGTGGCCTGGCTAAGGATGTTTTCCTTGCGTATAGTAACAGTTGACCACTATCAGGGAGCACCTGTAAATGGTTTGGATCCCCAATATTCAACTTTTCGGGGAGCTCCAGTAAAACGTGTTCCTGTGTTACGTATCTTTGGTGCCACACCTAAAGGTATGTCTTCCTTCTTGAAAATATTTGGTAAAAATGTTACATAATAATTCAATTGCAAAGGTAAAACCAATTACAAACCTGTTGTATGATTTCACATAATTATTTTTGTTTTACGGTTCAGGCACTTACAAAATGTTGCAGCTAATTTCTCCACCACACAGGACAAAAGGCCTGTCTTCACATCCATGGTGTGTTTCCATACATTCTGGTCCCATGTGATGGATCCGAGCCTCTCACCCGTCTCCCTTATACTTTGGCTGCTGGTATTGACAGGGCGCTTAATATTGCCCTGGGTCATGCCTCGTCCAACACACAACATGTATATAAAATCACACCAGTGTCTGGAATGTAAGTACTGTATAGTAGTTCACAGCTAACCCTAAATGTGTTTCACTCTGCCCTGGACCATTATCAAGTTATGATTAGGAGAAAAGGGAAGAAATTCAGGAGAGACAGCAAGATCAGGAGAATTGAGGAGAGTCAAGGTCAGGTCAAGTAATGTAATGTGTTTCGAAGACTAGAGCATTTAGCACTGTACTGGAAAAGGCAAACATCAACAGAAGCAAAACTGGGAATTCCTTCTGGCTTTCTTTCTTTTCCCCCCCCTCCCCTCACTTACTACTTGAAAATAGTCGATGGCAGACCAAAACGTTGTTAAGAGCCTCCTTTCCAAATTCTGGACTCATAGTGAATTGTTCTGGTTATTCAAATTCAAATTTTTATTTCTTCTTATGCTGTACAAAGATAATGTATTTACATGTAATAAAATAGGCACAAAAGAAAGCCACTAGTATTCACTACATTTTAGGCAAAGTAATCCTCTGTAAGTAGAGTAGTAATGCTCTTTCTTTACTGACAGCAAGTCAAAATTCTAAGGATAGTCTCTTTGTTTTGTGAAGCATTTAGGTAAAATAAAACTAATACAGTGGACCCCCGAGTTTCGTGATTAATCCGTTCCAGAGAGCCTGCCGAAAGTCAAAATTCACGAAACTTGAAACCATTTTCCCCATAAGAAATAATGGAAATAAAATTAATCCATTCCAGACACCCAAAAATATTAAAATAAATTTTTTTTTTTAAATTTAAAGATTTACATACTGAAAACAATCAGAAATCAAGTACATGCATTTAAAAAAATAATAACATTACACTTACCTTTACTGAAGACTTCTGGGTGGATGGAAGACGGGAGGAGGGGATAGGAGGAAGGTGTACACTATTGTTTGGAAGGAGAATCTCTTTCCATTAGGACTTCAGGTATGAAGTCCTTATCTGGGGTTACTTCCCTTCTTTGTTTTTTAAAGACACTGGCACTGGGAACAACTTGAGAGCCATTGGACCCCTGTCCCATAAAATTAAACACTTGTTGGAGTTTGAATTCTCCAGTGTCTACGCACTCCTTAAACTGCTGTACAAACTTCTCAGCTGCAATTTTGTCAGAACTGGCAGCCTCACCATGCCTTATCACACTGTGAATGCCACTACACTTCTTAAATCTCTCAAACCAACCTTTGCTGGCCTTAAAATCACAAGCATCACCACTTGTTGCAGGCAATTTCTTCACGAGATCGTCATGCAACTGCCTTGCCTTTTCACATATTATCGACTGTGTAACACTATCTTCTGCTAACTGTTTTTCGATAATCCACACCAACAATAACCTCTCCACTTCTTCGAGGATTTTTGATTTCCTTTTTGTCAGCATATCCACCCCTTTTGCAACAACAGCACACTTTATTTCCTTTCCTTTCACCATGATCGAAGTGATGGTTGAATGGGGTTTGCCATACATCCTGGCAAGCTCTGTAACACGCACTCCACTCTCATATTTTTAAATGATTTCCTTCTTGAATTCAATCGTGTTCTTCACTTTCTTTACCAAAGGGCTTGCACTAGCTTTTCTTGGGCCCATGGTGACTTATTTAGCAGTTGCAATCACAAAAAAACAATGGATTATTACATACGAACCCGCGGGGTGATGGTCACGTGTTGGTAAACAATGGCACACTGAGCGTGAATGGCGTGGGAGACTGGCTTTGTGTGCGTGGTGATGAGAGGACGGATACCGGACGGTTGCCAAATCACAAGTCTAATCACGAAACTCAAGGCCAAATTTTGCCAAAAATCTTGCTGAAAGTTGAATTTCACAAAAGTCGATGCTGCCGAAACTCGAGGGTCCACTGTACTTACAAACTATTTAACTGTAGGACAGGTGCAGTATGTATTTGAATTAGGATTCAACATGTAATTTATATTTTATGAGATGGTCTGCATGAACAGTTCCTGTACATGATAAAATGGCTAGTTTATGTATGGTATGTGTGGGAACAGTTTGGTTTCAGTAGTTTCAGTAGCTGGTGATAGTACACATGTGGCTTTCTTTATAGCATAGGTTGGCCATCACTAATATGGCAATCAATAATCCGGCACTAATTTTGGCTAGCATAATTTCAAATTTCCAGGGTTGAAACACAAACCTACCACTACTGTTTGGTGGTGGTGCTTGCTGCATAAGTCATTCCATTTTTTTTTCTCCATTTATTGTTATAACCTGCTTACTTTCATTCTCGTTTTTTTTGGTCTCATTTGATAGAATGGGAGATATACAGTGGACCCTTGGTTATCAGCTGTTCCGCTTATCGGCTGGTTTTTTGGCTTCCGGTTATTGGCCGTTATTTCACTTATTGGCTGTATGGTATGCGTCGACCCGCCACTGCCGGCCTCTCATGCGTCAGTCTGGCTCTGTCTCTGGGCAAGTGAGGAAGCTTCTGCTCATTCATCCAAACATTTCACTGTAATTCATTCTTTTTTGTGGTTATTGATTAAGTGCAACTGTGAGATAAGTAACCATGGCCCCAAAGAAAGTTCCTAGTAAAGTTCCTTTGGTAAAAAAAGTGAGAAACATGATGGAATTTGACAAACAAGTTTTTGAAAAGTTTGAGAGTGGTTTTTGAGTGCTAGAACTTGCCAGGATGTATTGGAAAAACAAATCAACAATCACTTCTATCCTGGCAAAGAAAGAACAAATCAAGGAAGCTGATGTGGCAAAAGGAGTAAATGTGCTAACCAAACAAATGTCACCGATAATGGAAGATATGGAGAAGTCGTTGGTTTTGTGGATCACCGAAAAACAATTAGTGGGAGTTAGTGTTGTGGAGTCGATGGTTTGTGAGAAGGCAAGGCAGTTGCATGTGGATCTTGTAAAGAAAATGCCTAGAACAAGTGCTGCTTTTAGTGAATTTAGGGCCGGCAAAGGCTGGTTTGAGAGATTTAAGAAGCATAGTGGCATACACAGTGTGGTAAGGCATGGGGAGGTTGCAGGTTCTGACAAATGTGTGGCTGAAAAATTTGTGCAGGAATTCAAGGGGTATGTAGAGGCTGAAGGATTCCTCCCCCAACAAGTGTTTAGTTGTGATGAAACAGGCCTCTTTTGGAAGAAAATGCCAAAGAGGACCTACATTACACAGGAGGAAAAAGCACTGCCAGGACACAAGCCTATGAAAGACAGGCTTTCTCTCTTGTTCTGTGGTAATGCTAGTGGGGATTTCAAAGTGAAACCTTTACTGGTGTATCACTCTGAAAATTCCAGTGTGTTCAAGGAAAATAGTGTCGTCAAGAATAGATTGTGTGTGATGTGGAAAGCTAATAATAAGGCATGGGTCACAAGGCACATTTTCAAAGAGTGGGTCCATGATGTGTTTGGCCCCAGTGTGAAAAAATACGTCCTGGAAAAGAAATTGCCATTCAGGTGCCTCCTGATACTGGACAATGCTCCTACTCATCCTCCAGACTTGGAAGGCCAATTGTTTAGGGACTTAAGTTTTATAACAGTGAAGTTTTTGCCTCCTAACACCACTCCTCTCATCCAGCCCATGGAACAGCAGATTGTTTCTAACTTCAAAAAACTCAAACACAAAAGCTGTATTTCAAAGGTGCTTTGAAGTGACCTCAGACACTGACTTGACCCTAAGTGAGTTCTGGAGGAATCACTTCAATATCCTCCATTGCATAAGCCTTATAGGTAAGGCTTGGGAGGGAGTGACTTCCAGGACTTTGAACTCTGCTTAGAGAAAATTATGGCCAGATTGTGTCCAAGAGAGGGATTTTCAAGGGTTTGAGGCTGATCCTGACGACCCTGTGCCTGTTGTGCAATCTATTGTGGCACCGGGGAAGTTCATGGGGTTGGATGTGAGTGGCGAGGATGTGGAAGAATTGATGGAGGACCACAGGGAAGAACTATCAACTGAAGAGCTGCAACATCTTCAACTGGAACAGCAACAGACTGCAGCTGAGGAAATTGCTTCAGAGGAGGAAGAGAGAGGGGAGAAGGTGCCTTCATTGATTAAGGACATGTGTGCAAAGTGGAATGAGTTGCAAAGTTTTGTTGAAAAGTATCACCCTGACCAAGCTGAAACAAACCATATCTGCAACATGTTCAGTGACAAAACTTTGCCCCACTTCAGGGAAATCTTAGAGACACCAGAAACAGATCTCTCTGGACAGATTTTTTATGCGACAGGGGTCCAGTGACTCTCAAGGTGGTCCTAGTGCCATTAAAAGACAAAGAAGGGAAGTAACCCCAGAGAGGGATTTGTTACCTGAAGTCATTATGGAGGGGGATTTCCCTTCCAAACAACAACCCCCAACTCCCTGTCTCCTCCTCCCTATCTTCCATAAGCCAAGAAGAGTCTTCAATAAAGGTATGTAATACTGATTTAATTGTTCATGTATTAATTTTATTAAGTCCTCATTGTTTTGTGTTTGTAAAGCTATAATTAATCTTTAAAAAAAATATTTTTTTGTGAATATTTTTGGGTGTCTGGAATGGATTATTTTTTATTTTTTTTAATTATTAACACATTGGCTGATTCCCACCAAGGCAGGGTGGCCTGAAAAAGAAAAACTGTCATCATCATTCACTCCATCACTGTCTTGCCAGAGGGGTGCTTTATATTACAGTTATAAAACTGCAACATTAACACCCCTCCTTCAGAGTGTAGACACTGTACTTCCCATCTCCAGGACTCAGGTCCAGTCTGCTGGTTTCCCTGAATCCCTTCATAAATGTTACTTTGCTCACACTCCAACAGCAAGTCAAGTTTTAAAAACCATTTGTCTCCATTCACTCCTATCAAATACCCTCACGCACGCTTGCTGGAAGTCCAAGTCCCTCGCACACAAAACCTCTTTTATCCCCTCCCTCCAACCCTTTCTAGGCCGACCTCTACCCCGCCTTCCCTCCACTACAGATTTATACACACTCAAAGTCATTCTGTTTTGTTCCATTCTCTCCACTTGTCCGAACCACCTCAGCAACCCCTCCTCACCCCTCTGGATAATAGTTTTGGTAATTCCACACCTCCTAATTTCCAAACTATGAATTCTCTGCATTATATTCACACCACACATTGCCCTCAGACATGACATCTCCACTGCCTCTAGCCTTCTCCTTGTTGCAACATTCATCACCCATGCTTCACACCCATACAAGAGTGTTGGTACAACCATACTCTCTTACATTCCCGTCTTTGCTTCCACGGACAAAATTCTTTGTCTCCACAGACTCCTAATTGCACCGCCCACTCTTTTCCCCTCATCAATTCTATGATTCACCTCATCTTTCATAGACCCATCCACTCCCAAATATCTACATACATTCACCTCCTCCATACTCTCTCCCTCCAATCTGATATCCAATCTTTTGTCACCTAATCTTTTTGTTATCCTCATAACCTTACTCTTTCCTGTATTCACTTTTAATTTTCTTCTTTTACATACCCTACCAAATTCATCCACCAACCTCTGCAACTTCTCTTCAGAATCTCCCAAGAGCACAGTGTCATCAGCAAAGAGCAACTGTGACAACTCCCATTTTGTGTTTGATTCTTTATCTTTTAACTCCACACCTCTTGCCAAGACCCTCGCATTCACTTCTCTTACAACCCCATCTATAAATATGTTGAACAACCACGGTGACATCACACATCCTTGTTTAAGGCCTACTTTTACTGGGAAATGATCTCCCTCTCTCCTACATACTCTAACCTGAGCCTCACTATCCTCGTAAAAACTCTTCACTGTTTTCAGTAATCTACCTCCTATATCATACACCTGCAATATCTGCCACATTGCCCCCTATCCACCCTGTCATATGCCTTTTCCAAATCCATAAATGCCACAAAAACCTCTTTACCCTTTACACACCCCTACCTTTCCTAAATCCTCGTTCATCTGCTATCCTTCTCTCCATCTTACTCTTAATTCTTCCAATAATACCTCTACCATACACTTTACCAAGTATACTCAACAGACTTTTTTTATTTTTTCTCTCTCTCGGCAAACCGGCCGTATCCCACCAAGGCAGGGTGGCCCAAAAAGAAAAACGAAAGTTTCTCTTTTTAAATTTAGTAATCTCATCAGACTTATTCCCCTATTATTTTTGCACTCTCTTTTATCCCCTTTGCCTTTATACAGAGGAACTATGCATGCTCTCTGCCAATCCCTAGGTACCTTACCCTCTTCCATACATTTATTAAATAATAGCACCAACCACTCCAAAACTATATCCCCACCTGCTTTCAACATTTCTATCTTTATCCCATCAATCCCAGCTGCCTTACCACCTTTCATTCTACCCACTGCCTCACGAACTTTTCCCAGACTCACAACTGGCTCTTCCTCACTCCTACAAGATGTTATTCCTCCTTGCCCTGTACACAAAATCACAGCTTCCCTATCTTCATCAACATTTAACAATTCCTCAAATTATTCCCTCCATCTTCCCGATACCTCTAACTCTCCATTTAATAACTCTCCTCCTATTTTTAACTCTCAAATCCATTTGTTCCCTAGGCTTCCTCAACTTATTAATCTCACTCCAAAACTTTTTCTTGTTTTCAACAAAATTTGTTGATAACATCTCACCCACTCTCATTTGCTCTCTTTTTACATTACTTCACAACTCTCTTAACCCCTCTTTTTCTCTCCATATACTCTTCCCTCCTTTACATTAATTCTTATGGGAATTATTATTTCGGTTTTCGGCCATTTCAGTTTTAGGCCAGCCTTCTGGAATGGATTACAGCCGATAACCGAGGGTCCACTGTATTACAGAAATAGATATGATTTTGATTGGTTTCATGATGAAAAGTACCTTGAAATTGAGCTAAAAGTAGTGAAACTGTTTGATTTTTGCTGATGTTTAAGAGTAAACAAATGACATCACCATCCAGCACGTCTCCAACTGGCCGGTCTAAAATGTAATCACAAATGGGTTGACATTATTTATACAATTATTACAATAATACAATAATCTACATAACAGTAAATCTTCTATTTTTTTGTGTGAACAAAAATTCAAAATGGAAAGCAAGAGTAATATAAGAGGGGCCTGGGGACGTGACTAATGAACAGAGAAAATGTTATTTTAGTGCCAGGAATGTCTGCATTATTCTGGACCCTATCTTGAAATTTGTGTGAAATTGGCCAAATTAACATTTTCTGACTTGGGTGGTTGAAATAGGTAATTGGGCAGTTTCTTGTACTCAGTCGACAGAATAGAAGGAATGAGTTTGGTAGACTGGAACAATGGAATGGGCCAAAAATAGGGCGTAAAGTGGGTGAAATCGCCGATGTGTAAATATCATCATTGGGTTAAGTGTATTCTAGCCTAACCACTCTGTGATCCAACAAAATCACTAATCTGATACCCCGCAGGTCCTGATGATGCCGGATTAATGATGGTCAGCTTGTATATGAGTAAAGGTATATTTGTTGTGCTTTAGTAAATTTATTATTGAGATTACTTCTGAGGTAGATGGTGGTAGAGGAACTTGGATAATTATATATCTGTAAGAAGGTCTCTGTCTTGGGCTTGGGAGGTTGAGATTTTTTTTGTGAGGTTTGAGCCTATCATTAAGAAGAAATATAGTTTGTTTTCCATTTCATTAATAAGGATGGGATGGGAAGTTTATTAGGTTTATAGAATTTAATTTCTTTTGCTCTAGGTAGAGGTACTTTATTAGAACTCAGTATATAGTATGAGGGAGTGTTTTCCAGGTATTTTTTATATCTTTGTTTTGATTTCTTTGTTAACATTGTTGTTTCGATTTCTATATTTGGTTAATGTTGTTGAGTATAATTTTTGTTTTCTTTGGATATTAGTCCCATTCTATTTTTTCTTTGTTTACAAATCTGAGGATTCTGTTAGTTATGAGCTACTTAGTCTCCTGGTTATATTTTTGTTATTTAGGGGGGCAATGCTTATTGGAGAGGCTTCGACTTTTTTTTTTATAGAAATATTTGGATACATGACTTAAGGTTTGATTGTTATTCTCTTCATTATTTTAATTTAATTGCCCTTATGTTATAGATGTGTACATGTTATGTACTTAACCACACATGTTGTTTCTGCATTCAGAGGTATTAAGTACTCAATAGTGATTTACTGGCTCTTCATATATCATATGCCTTATATGTACATGTACAGTACTTTTAACATTTACTCAAGTTAGTCTATCATGAAAATGCTAGCAATGTCTTGCTGAAATGTGTGTTTAATTTCAGACCATTTTATGGATACCATTCAAAGGAGCACCAGTTTCTCAAAATATTCTTCTACAATCCTTCTCTTGTTAAAAAGGCAGCAGAACTTCTTCAAGTAAGTTTGGTACTTAAACTTGAGTTAAATATTCTAAAATATTTCTTTCTGTGCCTTTTTGGTACAGCGAAGCCTCTGTATCTCTGACGTTGGTACTGTGCAGGAGGAATCTCCTGAAAAAAATGGCTATTTTTCTAGTTGCAAAAGAATCATTGTTTGCACTCCACTCTGCTGTGGGTAATGGCAGCAGCATCCACAGCTCTCCTCTACTCTTGTAACTATGTTATCACCTTGTGCATAGATATAACAAATAAAGTTGTGGTAGCAAAGTAAGAGGTGGTGGGTAGGGTATTGGTATTAAGATTTGAGCATATAGCTACAAGTTCACATAACATGTGCCTTATTTTTTCCCCACAGTTCTGAAAAACCCATGGTTTAAGTGGTAGGATGGTAGATCACAACTATCCAGGGCCTTAGATGTAAGGATTGTACGTAACTTTTTGTAATGTCAGAATGTGGTTTTATACTGTGGAAAAAAATAGGTTCCAGTACTGAACTTCATAGTTATAAATGAAATTCAGGAATGCTGCTCATTTATTTGTTGTGGAGCCCTTGCATACTGTTTAGTTATTAGACTTAAATTTATTCTAGTTTCATATATTATGTGATGCACTAGTAAACAAACGAGCATTATTGAAGTTTTGAATTCAATAAATGTTTTGAAATAGTCTGAACATTATTATTTATATTAAAACAGAACAAATGATTTCAGAATGGGGCCATTCACAACAAAGTATACCAGCCACACGAGTCACACGTGCCATATGTGTTGCAGTTTCTCATGGACCATAATCTACATGGAATGAATATGATACACCTTTCAACATGCAAGTTTAGGCAGATAGAGGGTAAGTATAATTTAGATATTTTGTTGGGGTATTAGTTTCTTATTTCTCCCTTACAAGCAGAAAATCACTGTAGTTATTTGTTGTTAATTGCAGTATATTGGGTCTTTAATAAATTGTCAGTGTATATCCACTATCATAACCAATTTCTAGTTCCTGTCTGTCACATTGTGAACATCTGAATTCCTTGTGCGTTTTATTTCAGTAGCCTGAATTTTAGACTTGTGCCTCCTTGAAGTACTGAAATATATACCTATACTGTATATACAGGTACAGTATTTCACTTCCAAGAGATGAAAGTTGGTAGTACAGATTACAGCATCTTTCTTTCTTTCTTTCAACACACCAGCCGTATCCCACCGAGGCGGGGTGGCCCAAAAGGAAAAACAAAAGTTTCTCCTTTTACATTTAGTAATATATACAGGAGAAGAGGTTACTAGCCCCTTGCTCCCTGCATTTTAGTCGCCTCTTACAACACGCATGGCTTACGGAGGAAGAATTCTGTTCCACTTCCCCATGGAAATAAGAGGAAATAAACAAGAATAAGAACTAGAAAGAAAATAGAAGAAAACCCAGAGGGATGTGTATATATGTGCTTGTACATGTATGTATAGTGTGACCTAAGTGTAAGTAGAAGTAGCAAGACATACCTGAAATCTTGCATGTTCATGAGACAGAAAAAAGGACACCAGCAATCCTACCATCATGTAAAACAATTACAGGCTTTCGTTTTACACTCACTTGGCAGGACGGTAGTACCTCCCTGGGCGGTTGCTGTCTACCAACCTACTACCTATAGATTACAGCATCTCTCTTCCTTTATTATACTTTAAAACATGATATTGTACCAACTTTGTTTACTTTTCCCTTTGCTTAACTCTTAATTGGATTTCCAGAGTAAATGACATTCAGATGCCATGGATATCCTTATTAATGCCAATGTATTGCACATGCAGAGGCTTTATCAAGTCAGTTTGACTTCATGAAGCCCTTTTGTGTCCTAAATATTGTCAGTAATAAAGGTATACATTGCATCAAAGTATTACTTTGCCTTGTTAGTATTTACATACAATTCCAGCTCTAATTTGATTTCTGTCAAAAGCTTTCCACCACAGATTTTTTAGGTCCTCACATTAAATATTGTGATTGAAAAAACTATTAGTGTAGAATTGGAACAAATTTAAGCAAATCTGATGATCTTCAAATTCACAGTCTCAAGTTATTGAGAAAAACAGTTCAAAACTAATAAATGTCACTGGACTTTGTTTAAAATTTTTGCTTGCAAATTTCTGATACAAGATGGAGATTCATTTGTTTTTACTTCTTTCCTTGAACCTTGTGTAGGGATTGATGATACAGAGGGTGTCTTTATACGTTCCCATGCTGGTGTATCAGAAAGTTTGGAGTCAGCCCCTACTCAGAGTTGTGGGAATGTAAGCAGCTCCCTGCATCCAAGTACCAAAATATGGACGAAAGAGAGCGTGCCACAGAGCCTGTGGTTGCCTGAAACTGTTTCCAGAATGACTACTTGTGAACTTGAGGTGGATGGCCTTTCTTTAGATATCCTTAACAGATTGCAAATTGGAAGTAAGTGTTTATGGTATTTTTAAGTTTTTGTTTGTGGCTTGTCATTTGTGTTTGTATTATACTACACACACAAAGTGTCCAATATACCTATGAATTAAATCTAATAAAGAATGATTGATGAAAGAAGGTATGGAGGAAGGAGAAGGAAGAGGAGGTAGAGGAGGTATGTCATAGGTTTGAGGCAGCATTTGCTATTACAATTATTTCAGAAAACAGTATTTTGTGTAGGAGTCTAGGGATATCTTCCATGATTGCCACAAAGGAATAGAATCATACCTAATTTTTTCATCTGTTACTTTTCACTCAGCTGGAGTAGCTACAAATCCTGGGCTGTCATACATATGGGAAGATGAGATAGAAAGACGGCAGGCTCGAGGGGGCTCAAGAGAAGACCTCCAGCCACCTGACTCTCCTCCAAGAACTAACGTCACCACCTCAAACTCGGAGCTGTTCTACAGATCTGTTCTAAAGGAGAAATTAACTGCTCTTGTAAGTTTATGAAACTTGTATTTCAATGAATCAAACTGAGTATTGGGTATTTTTATAGTTAACTTTGTTTTGAAATTAGTAACTTGTGCTGTTTTTTCACACATGCAAAGAGGAAATGTTCACCATCATTTATGCAATGGGTGTCGTGCCAGAAGGGCATGGTGCATCACTGTTCAAATGGCCCTCCAAACAATAACATCTTCACTTCTTCAGAGTGCAGGCATTGTACTTCCTACCTCCAGGACTGAAATCCAGCTTACCATTTTCCCTGAATCCCTTCATAACTGCTACCTTTCTCCCACTTCCAATAGTACAACAAATCCCTAAAACCATGTGTCTTTACTCAGCCAGATATAAGACACTTATATACAGCTTTCAGATGCTCAAGTCCTTACCACTTAGAATCTTTAGTCTCCCTCCAACCCTTCCTAGTATGACCCCAATGCCTCCAATCCACCTAGAATTTATACACTTTCTTGTCCATCCTTTTCTGCCTTCTTTCTTTCTTTCAACACACCGGCCGTATCCCACCGAGGTGGGGTGGCTCAAAAGGAAAAACGAAAGTTTCTCCTTTTACGTTTAGTAATATATACAGGAGAAGGGGTTACTAGCCCCTTGCTCCCGTCCTTTTCTGCCTTATCCTCTCTAAATGCCCTGGCCACCTCGGTAACCTCTTTCTGGCCTCTGAGTAATACCTTTAACCACCACACCATTTTTAATTTTTATGCTCAATTCTTTGCATAATACATAAATTACTCTCAAATATGTCATCTCCACTGCCTCCAGTCTCCTTCCTGCTTCAGTGTTTAAAAGTTCATGTCCCCCACCCATATAAAATGGTTGTTACTACTATACTCTGGGATTCCTCATTTTTGCCTCCGTAGATAAATTTCAGCAGGCATGTGTGAGCATGTTAGATAGTGAATGGTGATGAATGGTTTTGGGGACCTGACGAGCTGTTGGAATGTGAATAGGGTAAAATTTTGCGAAGGGATTCAGGAAAATTGGTTAGCTAGACTTGAGTCTTGGAGGTGGGAAGTACAATGCCTGCACTTTAAAGGAGGGTTTTGGGATATTGGCTGTATGGAGTGACAGCTAAACTGTCGTATCTGAGTGCCTCTGCAAAGACAGTAATTGTGTGAATGATGATGGTGTTGAATGATGGTGAAAGTGTTGAATGATGGTGAAAGTGTTGAATGATGGTGAGAGTGTTTCTTTCTTTTTTGGGTCACTCTGCCTCAGTGGGAGACAACCGTCATGTTAAAAAAAAATATGGTTTAATTGTTTTTCTATTTTTTTATTACTATTTTGATCTAAGGCTATGTACAATGAATACTTATAAAATTACAAATGTTTCAAAGTGTAATACTCCTCAAAACATGGAAATAAGACACATTGTTTGACTTACTGGATTATCCTGGGTTAAATATACTTAGTGTGCTTTATGGCTAAATTCCACTGTTAGAATCATGAATTTGTAATAAATTTGTAATGAATTATGGTAACCTAAAGCAGTAGGTGTCTGTGGACTAGGAGATTTAATAGCATCTACATAAGGAGATAGTGGAAGACGAGTAAGCAGCGAAGGATTGGAATGCTGCGAAGAAAGGCGTTGTGTAGATGGTTTAGAAAAGTGAGGAATTCATCTTCCTGGTAGTTGCACACCCTGTTTGCTTGTAGAGAAACTGGTGATGGAACAACAGCTCTTAATTTCAATGTTTACTTATGCTGGTTAGGCTTACTAGTACATCAGACAGTTATAACCTTGTGTAGTTAACCATGATACAATGTGTGGCCGTATATTTTTTTTTTCAAATGTACGAATAGACTGTAGAAGACCCCAAAAAGTTGTGATAAGGTCAAAAATAATGGTAGGTAGCATATTTCTCAGAAACTAGAGAAAGTGTAGAATTATTCAGTGAGACTAGTTCCAGAGTTAACCCCCTTGACTGTCGCAACCCCAAATCCTGAGGTGGCTCCTGGTGTCGCAAAATTTCCGAAAAAAAAATTATTTTTTTATGAAATGATAGGGAATCTTTTTCCAATTGTAATGACACCAAAAGAATGAAATTTGATGGAAAACTGATGGAATTACGCTCTAGCAAAGTTAGCGACCTCAGTGATATTTAGGAATTGGCGATTTCACCCACTTCGAGCCCTATTTTCGGCTAGTTCCATTGTTCCAGTCGACCAAACTCATAGCTATTTCTTTAGAACTCCGTTTTTTCTATCGATTGAGTACAAGAAGCTGCCCATTTACTGATTTCAACTACCCAGTAATGTGGTCAGAAATTTGCAATTTGGCCAATTTCACGAAAATTGAAAAATATGACAATTTCAAAATAGGGTCCAGAATGAACAACACAGACAATCCTGGCTCTAAAATAACATTTTCTTTGTTCATCAGTCACGTCTCCAGGCCCCTCTGATATTACTCTTGCTTTCTATTTTGAATTTTTATTCAAACAAAAAATAGAAGATTTACTGTTATGCAGACTACTGCAATATTGTAATAATTGTATAAATAATATCAACCCATTCATGACTGCACATCATTTGTTTACTTTTGAACATCGGCAAAAATCAAACATTTCCCCTACTTTGAGCTCCATTTCAAGGTTCCTTTCGTAGTGAAACCAATCAAAATCACCTCTATGTCTATAATATGTTTTCCATTCTATCAAATGAGACCAAGAAAACGAGAATACAACCATAAGTCCTATACGAAAATAGACCACCAATTTGGCATTTTAATTAAAAAAAAACGGTTGGAGTTTTTTTTTTCTCATTATGCACTTTGTGCTGCAGGATTTTTTTAATATGGTGCACACTGACCACACAGCCCCATTCTCTCACATGTGGGCCTACCAGCTTTCTCCTGCTTGATTTGAAGTTTCTAGAATTTATGAGTACAGTGGTCCCTCGTTTTTCGTAGTTCTCGGGAATCATAGATTTCGGAAATCATAGGGATATTTTCGTATAAACATGGGCTTGCTAATCATAGGCTGACTCGCGAATAGTAGTTCGTCCGGGACGCGTACGCACGGTGTGAGCCGGGGCGGCCTCCCTACCCAGCCAGTCTGGCATTGTTTACCAGTGAGCGAAGGTCCCCTCACGTGCTCCTACGAAATATTTCATAATATTCCACTCATTTTAGTGCTTGCAAGTACTAAATAAGCTACCATGGAGAAAATTGTGGCCAGATTGTGTCGACGAGGGATTTTGAAGGGTTTGGGACTGACCCTGATAAGCCTATGTCTGTTGTTAAATCAATTGTGGCACTGGGGAGTTCCATGGGGTTGGATGTGAGTTTGGAGGATGTGGAAGAGTTGGTGGAAGACCACAACGAAGAGCTCACCACTGAGGAGCTGCAAGAGCTTCAGCAGGAACAGCAACAGATCGCAGCTCAGAATCTTGCTGCAGAGGAGGAGGAAGAGAGATGGAAGAAGGTGCCTTCTTCAGAAATTAAAAAGATTTTTGCTATGTGGGGTAAGATGGAAAACTTTATGGAGAAACATCACACTGACAAGGTTGCTGCAAGCCATGTTGGCAACATGTACAGTGACAAAGTCTTGGGCCATTTTAGGGAAGTGTTAAAGAGACGCCAGAAACAGAGCTCTATCCACAGTTATTTTGCGAGACAGGACTATAGTGACTCAAGGTGGTCCTAGTGGCTTTAAGAAACAGAGAAGAGAAGCAACCCCAGAAAAGCAATTGGTACCTGAGGTGTTGATGGAAGGGGATTCCCCTTCCAAACTGTAAACAATCCAATCTCTCTCCTCCTCCAGTCTCCCATACACTAAGAAGAATCTCCAATAAAGGTAAGTGTTATGCTGTTAATGTTTCATTCATCATTTCCCATTGTATTGTTTATGTACTGTATCTATATTTCATGTAAAAAAATTTTTTGTTTTAATACTTCTGGGTGTCAGGAACAGATTAATTGTATTTACATTATTTCTTATGGGGAAAATTGATTTGAAAATCGTAGATTTCGATAATAGTAGCAACTCCAGGAACGGATTAACTACGAAAAACGAGGGACCACTGTATATATACTACGTCACAAACGGTGGCTCGTAAAACGTATATATACAACCGAAACAGTCAAAGGGTTAAGGGGTATAAGCTATAAGGAAAGGCTAAAGAATGGAATCTAATCACTCTTGAGACAGAAGCACCAGGAGAGCCTTGATAAAAACATGCAAAATTCTCAGAAGAATTTATAGGGCAGATAGGGACAGGCTATTTGCAATACAGGACACAGGCATTTGGGGGTACTGTTGGAAACTAAAGACACAGATGAGTGAGAGGGATCTCAAGAAGTATTTCTTCAGTCTCAGAGTGGAAGTGGAATGACCTCGATGAAGAACTGGAGGTAGACTCTATCCATAGTTTCAAGAATTGTTACAATAGGGCCCATGAGGCTAGGAGAGAGTGAATTTGATAAGTGGCAAGTTGAGAGGTAGGGTTAGAAGCTAAGATCTGACCCTTACAACCATATATAGGCAAGTATCAGGGCCATATGTCTGCTCAAGTATTTATAAATAACTAAGATAATCTCATGAATTCATTGTAATTAGAACATCATTCCTGTCTATTATTGTACAAGTATTTTTTTTATGCAATGAGTTTTTCTTCATTGATACTGAATGCAAATGTGCTGGGGTTTAATTGCATGTGAACTTGATCTTAAAGGAAAAGAAGGCTCATGAGTGCAGCGAAGAACTACCAAGCAGCCAGTACAGGATATCAGTCACTCCCGATGATTCCACATTGTGCTCGGCTACAACAGTAAATGCTATTACTAAGGCAGATGTTTCCTCATATGGGGTTAGTCATTACTTACCTTTTTCATTATAGTATTAGTGATTTAAAAATTAGCATTTTTCAGCAAATATAAGAAGAAATATGGTTTATAATAAGCATTTTTAGGTATGTATTTTTTACAAGATTGTTAAATTTAAAGTTAGTTACAGTATTTTTAATGTAAAGCTAAGTCTTGGGAAGAATGACTCATTGTTATCTTTGAGTTTATTGTCTAGTCTTCATCCCCTCTTCGTTTTTTTACTGTTATACTGTGTGGAGCACTGTGATTCAATCCTGTATGAGGATTATTCCACTTTGTCAACATGAGGCTGAATATTACTCAGAATAAATATTTTTAAGTAATATGAATGTTTAAATAAACTGAATTGAATCACCTGTAATGAATTTGAATGTGTTAGAATCCTATTTATTTGAAATATATTAAAATAAATCATAGATATTTTTGTGATGTATTCTCAATTTCTTCGTATTTATTCATTGGGTGATATGTCTCGGTTCCTCTTTTATAAATAATAATAATATCAAATTAAGTTCTCTTTTATTAACAATTGTAAGATTTAATATTTTTTACTAAATGCTAATTTTCCTATTCTGTTTGATTTATTGGTCCCTCTACTTTTTTGACTTCCTTTTATTTGTCAGTACAGTAGTGTACTTTCCTTAGGATGTCAGAGACAGACAAATTATGTCTTTAAACTGCATTTCACTCATTGTGAACTTCTTCATGTTAAACATTTTATAACATGAAGAAGCTTGGTCTGTGTGTCTTCAGTTTACTAATTGTTGGTTTACTCTCTCTCTCTCCTGTACTTTCCTTACTAATGCATGCTAAAGTACATACCTAGTTGCATCTGTAAGGGTTGAGCTCATATTGACTGGCTCCTCCAGGGCCTAATCATTTCTGAACCTGTGTATTGTGTTTGAAGTTGCACTCCTCTTGTATTGCTGCATAATCTGAAGTGCTGGAAAGTTTGCAGATGGGTAATACCAATTGTATTAATCTACTTTCAGAATGAAGGAGCTGGTATACCACGACAGGAAACAACAGATGAAACTTTAGAAGAATCTTGTGTGGATGAAGAGCTCATATTAAGTCTGACACAACAAGCACCTTCTCAGTGGAGTAAGTCAATAGGAGGATTTTATAACTCAAATATTCTTAATTTTCTGGAAAGGAAGGCAAATTACTAATGTAGTGGAAACTACTTAGCTACCTGTTGTAGAAAGGGCTAATAATGCTATATATTACTAGCTAAGGAGGGGTTCAAGTGATTTGGACATTTAGAGAGGATAGAGCAAAATAGGATGACTAGGAGAGTGTGTAAGTTTGGAGTGGAGTGAAGGAGGGATAGAGGTCATCCCAGGAAAGGTTGGAGGGAAGAGGGAGTCATACTAGGAAAGGTTGGTGGGAAGGGTGTCATCCCAGGAAAGGTTGAAAGGAGGGACTAAGGGAGTTTTGAGGAGGGTGTGAGTGCATTAAATAATAGTGAGTTGAGGCAAGTGGTTTTTATGATGTGCGAGCATGGTAACGTTTATGAAATGATTCAGGGAAACTGGTTAGCTAAAATTGAATCCTGGATATGGGAAGTACAGTGCCTACACTCTGAAGATGGGTGGGATATCTGAAGTGTGATGCGAGTACGCTTCCAGCAAGACTGATTGAATCTCTTCTTTGCTGGCTGACTGTGAAGGCTTACTCAGCCCTGTAATAACTTCAGACAGTATTACCAAGGCTGGCTCCTCCTAAGGAAAATCAATGAATAGAAAAAGAAATAATAACAGACAAACATAAACACTTTATTATATAGAAAATATAAAATATAAAACACTTAAATATGAAATATTAATCCTACATTAAAGAAAATGAAAAATGAAAAATATAAATGATAACTGAATTCAACGCTAATATATATAGGGGTGTCTGGTGTTGGTGACACTGTGTTGTTGAAATCGTAGCCGTTGCTGATGATGGGGGGGGGGGGGGGTTGCAGGTGTTGGTTACGACCCACTGGCTAGTTCTTCACAGTATAGCCTTGAGTATTATATCCCGTGGGCAGGAAAGCAGGTTCTTTACCGCTGCCAATGATGAGGGGTTACCGTCCTGCATTTCATACAGGTGCACAGGTAATTAAATCCAAAAAGGGGAAGTCTCAGGACGTTAGTCCATCTCCACCATTTTTCTCGTTGATCGCCCGGTGACCCTCTCTGTCATCCAAGCTGAAAAGATAGACAGGTTACCCACTGCTTTAAAAAATCAACTCTCCATGATAAGTACAAACCTAAAAGATGTGGTGATTATTACAAACAGTCAACATAGAGCAAGGCTGAAAAGACTTAAGTTTATTATTGGTCAAAAGTGAAGCTTTCAATCCATAAATCCACTAGAATTTCAAGGCAGGCATGTACTTACAGTAGTGCGGGGAGCGTGAGTCTAGTGATTACTGTTTGAACCGGGCCCCCAAGTCACCTTTCGGGGGGGGGGGGGGGGGAGGAGGGGAAGGGATAGCGGACTAACTGACCCACCTTAACAAGAGCCGGCAGTCAAACTATCACTTTCGGGGGTGGGGGAAAAGGGGGGGGGGAAAAGGGGGAGTTTGACTTACCCACCTTAACAAGAGCCGGCAATGAAAAATTTTACTATATACCCCTCGCTCCCCTACAATTGAACTTTTCCCTCACCCCCCCCTTCCAAGACTTATAGTAAAGGGGAGAAAGAAGAAAGGCGAGGAAAAAAGTTCTAACATGTGGAAGTCACGAAGGCAACAATCTTCTATGATTTCAGATTAACCAGCCCGAGAAATAATTGGATGAACCTTGATATCCCAAAATATGGAACTTAAAAGCGGGGGCCCAAGTCCCCCAAAGGGCGATTTGGTTCCCTTAAAAGTTTCTAGGTATATCAAAGGTTGTGGTCTGTTTCTAAAAAGAATTTTTTCCCCGCAAATAAAATTTAAGTTTGGAGATACCCCAACAGGGCTAAACATTCCTTTTCTATTTTGGGGGTATCTTGTTTTTGCGGGGGGAGTTTCCCGGTTAGGAAGCTACGGGGAAAAGGTACCTCATGTATTGAGTAAACCGCACCCAAGCAGTATTGGAGGCATCAGTTCTTAAGCAAAAGTTTTTTATCTGGAAACTTAATATGGGCTTTTGAAAAGTACTTTTAACTCATTAAACTTTTCCCGACACGCAGAAAGTTCAAGGGTTCCTTCACCGATTTTTTAAAGGGAAATCGGATAAGATGCCCGTAAAATCAGTAAGGTTGGGTTTTAAAACCCTGCATAAAATTTACGAACCCAAAAAAGAGCATGAGCTTCTTGGGTTTTTGGGGGAATTTAAAATTTTTAAAAAAGGTTTGATCTTACTGGGGAGAGGCTGCAGAATTATTTGAAAGATCAGTCCAAGATATCTAACTTTTATACCCAAGAAATACAGTTTTCTTCGGCTTGGCGTGAGGCCTGTGAGCGAACCCAGCAAAAAATGAGTTATGTTTGGATAGTCGCCCCCCGTGGATGCATTAGTAAAGTTATCAAAAAAAACTGAAACATTTGGCAATTACCAGACCTTTTCATCAGTCTCACGTTGGTAGCACGGCAGTTACAAACCGAAAGGGCTGTTCTATTTGCATCAGTCCTGGTTTTGTAGGAAAAGTGGTGTCTGCTTAGAAAAGGATTAACATTATTGAATATGCCTGTGCAATACAATCTCTGAAGGGGAAAGATCCAAAATTTTTGGTTCAAAGGGGAAGTTTCCCTTTTAAAAGAACTTGAGAATGAATCTCCTCAACCCATTACAATTGGATAAAGGGTTGGTGAAAAGGTTACTCCCAAAGTTGGTATGATGTTCATTGTATGGAAATTTTGTCCCCCTAGCAAAAATTTTTAGGGAGGCCCCCCTGGAGAAGAGGAAAAAAGGGGCACC